TGTCTGCAAACTTACTAAGGGTGCATTCTATACTTTCGTCGAGATCATTGATAAATAAATTAAACAGAAGTGGCCCTAGTAGTGACCCCTGCGGAACACCACTTGTGACCGGCCGCCGGCTGGATTTAACCCCATTGATCACCACTTGGGCCCAGCCGTCCAGCCAGTGTTTTACCCACCAGAGTGTGTGCTCATCCAAGCCATGAGCAGCCAGTTTCTTCACTGGAATTCCTTGGGAAACAGTGTCGAAGGCTTCATGGAGGTCGAGATAAACAATATCCACAGCCTTTCCTTCATCCATCAGGTGGGTCATCTTGTCATAGAAGGAGATCATAGAAGGTTCATAAACACATGCGGACTGGGCCTGATCACCTGTTTGTTCTGTAAATAACTTGTGATGGCGCTCAAGATGATCTGCTCCATGACCTTCCCTGGCACTGAGGTCCATAGTTTCCCAGATCCTCCTTTTGGTCTTTCTTGTAGATGCGTGTCACATTTGCTATTCTCCAGTCCACTGGGACCTCCCCAGTTACCCAAGACTTCTGGTAGATGATGGAAAGAGGCTTGGTGAGCACATCTGCCAACTCTTTCAGTACTCTTGGATGTAGCCCATCTGGCCCCATAGACTTGTGTGCATCTAAGTGGTGTAGTAGGTCACTGACCACTTCCTCTTTAATTGTGAAGGCCACATTCTGTCCCCTCTCCCTGTCTTCCAGCTCAAGGGGCTGGGTGTCTAGGGAACAACTAGTTCTACTACTAAAGACTGAGGCAAAGAAGGCATTGAGCACCTCAGCCTTTTCCTCATCCTTTGTCACTGTTTCCCCCTCTACCTAGTAAAGGAAGAAGATTCTCCCCAGCCCTCCTTTTGTTGTTAATGTATTTATAGAAACATTTTTTAATTGTCCTTAACAGTTGTAGCTAGTTTAAGTTCTAATTGGGCTTTGGCTCTCCTAATTTTCTCCTTGCATAGCCTCACTACTTCTTTATAGTCCTCATGAGAAACCTGCCCTCTCTTCCAAAGGTCATAAACTCTCCTTTCGTTCCTGAGGTCATGCCAAAGGTCCCTATTCAGCCAGGCCGATCTTCTTCCCTGCTGACTCATTTTTTGGCACACGGGGACGGCCTGCTTCTGTGCCTTTAAGACTTCCTTCTTGAAATATGTCCAGTCTTCCTGGACACCTTTACCCTTCAGGGCTGCCTCCCAAGGGACTTTGTCAATCAGTCTCTTGAAGAGGCCAAAGTCTGCCCTCGGGAAGTCCAAGATGGCAGTTTTCAGGGTTGTTGCAGGGTTGGACAGGTTTTGCTCATGCATCTTCCTAATCCCCCCCAACCTTCACTGTTCTCCAATTACCTCATTGAGCCACAACATTTTAAAAGAAAGCATGCCGCAGAGGAAAGAAAACATAATTAATTTACCCTAGAAGACTTCCCCAAAGTTACTGCACTATTTCTCCATTGCTGCTTTGCCAAACCTGTTCATATGCAACATGTCTTTGAAAAGAAAAGCTATCTGTCTTACATAATACCATGTGTGTTCTTAAGGTTTCTTATGGTGAGGTCAGGAACGATTTTCCTCTACCTCAAAACCTTTTGGGCTTTCTGAAATACTGATAAAACAACTATGTGACTTCCTCCTCTTGTCTCTGCATTTGCCTTCTGCAATGTTTCATGGCAGTGGTCCAGATCCTCCCTCAAACAACTCCAGTTCATGAGTTCAATCAGGTTTCTAATGCTGATTTACAATTCACAATGTCTTTCAGGCCAGCTTGTTTTGGCTTGCTCTCCTGCAGTCTGAGAGATTTGATCCTGAAGTGTTGTGTTGGGTGGTATTTCAGTGTCTGTCTGAGAACTATCAGAACTGTTGAGCCAAGTCATGTGCTTTGAATTTGACTCACACTGAAGGGAAGAAACTTTGAGACTTGAACTTTTATTGCCTATTGCTATATAAAAATTTCTGCTTGTCTTGTATAATTGAAAATAATTATTAATAAGCACAAGATTGGGCTGTGATACTGGATATATTTAAAGCAATGTCTTGAGTATTTGTGGTTTCTATGTATACTATATACTCTGTTTCCTGGGACTGTGCCATTTCAAAATGATAGAACTATGGCTTTGCCAAAGTCTTCTACCCTTAGGTCTCTGCAGGCATGCTTGTTCAAACCAGCATCATCATCTACTGCTTTCTTTGAAGGGTTTATTGCTGACATTTGTCTGGCAATAACTGTAAGCAGATTCATGCCTTCTGTAAAAATTGTAGCCAAGATATGAAAGTAAGGGCAGGCACCTGCTTTGATAGGTCAGCTCTCTAGTCTCGTCATTTAATCGTACGTCAGTTCAGTCTATTATTCCCAGATGAACACTGTTTTCAGTTCTTCAAAAGCAGACTAATGAGAGAGATGAAATTAAAAAGGACCTAAGTTATACAGCACAACTGCAATTTTATATTTATTGCAATAGGAGTTCTTAACTGAGTAGTAAAGCTCAATTTGTTTCAGAAATATATCCCTCAAATATTTCTTCACATTCAGAAATGATAATTCTTAATCTGTTTGCATGCCTTTTTCATATTTGCTTTCCAAAATTATTTGGTGAAGTAATTTCAGAAGAGGATTTTCTGGTGAAATAGTGAACTGTAAGCAAAAACTTTAGGCTATTTGCAGAGTGTAGGTTTGAAGCTTGAGATTGCAAGAGTGCCTGTGACTAGCATAATTTTTAAATCATGTTTCTGCCCTAGTTATGAAATGGAAGGAAAACATATTAGCTGTGTGGTCAATGAAAATAATTTGGCTTTTGAATGCCTCATGCTTGTACTGAACTGAAAGCAACAAACCAGGAATTGCACAGTTCCAATGAGCAGGTGGTCATTTTGATAAAAACGCTTGAGAAAGCTGAGACTGTTCAAGTATTTATCAAGGTTAGGAAAATGAAATTCTTCTTAGGTTCTTCTTGAGGTTAATTCTTTCCTCTGGCAATATTTGGCCTAAGTCTGGACTGCAAATGGGAGAGAGATGTGAAAAGTTCCATTGCAGGTGACAGAACCATGCCTTTGTTTGTATTTGGAATCTGTTATTTGAAAAACATTCAGGTAATTTCTTTCAGTAAAGAATGCTGCTCAAAGTGAGCAAAATCATGGAAAAAAATCAGAAGACTGTTTCTGCAGGTAAAAATAATTTTCCAAGTGGGAATCTTTCAGTCTCCTTTGCAGCTGTGCTTTGATGATGAACTTTGTACCCAGACTAGGGGTAAGCAATATTGCTTCCTTTCTCCTGTCAGTCCTCCTGAAGAGCTTGTCCTTCTCCACAAATTCCGGCTTCAGAAAGTGGTACACGCCTGGATTTGGAGCAAGCCAGGAGCAAGCCAAGACCAAGCCTGCACTTCTGAACTCGAATTTTGTAGCTTCAAAATAACTTGAAAACCACCATGGATTTTTTTAGCTGTTGACATGCAGAAAAAGCAGTACAGTAAGCAAGAGTTAAGCATGAGAAGCAGCTGGAGAAAAAACAGGGAAGAGAGTAGGCTGGCTAGCTGCAGGGGGTGGTAGGGTGAAAAGCCACAGAATGGTATGCACACCAGCGGATGGATGGTGAGTCTGCACCATAGTCCCTGAAACTTGAGTAGTTGGGTAGCTGAGCCCTGTGCTGCTGGCAGCGTGGCAATGCAGAGCTTGGAAAGGGCCATCAACCTGTCTGAAAAGGGAATCTTTTTGCTTCCAGTACCTGAGTAAAGGCAAATAGCTGTAGTACAGACATACTGTGTATGCCTGGTGGCCTTTATTTGCCTGACAATGTAAGGAACCCACCTCATTCCAGAAACACCATTGCTTTGGGAGAAAGCAGTGTGTAGTAACTGC